CCTGGACACTGTTCCCCAGGCTATCTTTTACTTGATTTAATTTAAGTTGAATGGATTCATTTGAATTTCAAGGATCCCATTATTTTGGATAGTAGATTGATAAATGAAATTACACATGGTTATTAGAGCTTCCATACTAAGATGGCGGTAGAAGTGTTTTTATCTTTGCGATAGGACACCCATCAATTGAAATAGCACAGCGTTGTGTTAGGATTGAATTCCTCCCTTCGGGCATGAATGTGTTTCCCATTCAAATGATTCATATGTGAAAAAAGGATCTGGGGCGCCTTGGAAAAGTTTCTACGTCTCAACAGGCCAACGTTTAATTCTGCCTGTAGTTTTTAAGCTTCGTTGAAAGCTTGCCACATCGTCGGATGATTTCTTTATCACACATGATGTTGCAATTCAAAAGAACACACATTCCTCCAAGCGACATGAAACTGTGATCATTTCTTCTCTTTTTCCCTACAATCTTTCCCTTCTGGGTTAGTTGCTGTTTTTTTTTCTTTCCTTCCCTAAAATTGGAGAAACAAGATAATCTTTCACAAATGCCTTCTCGGGCTGTTAGGCTGACGGCGCCATTGGCAAAGCTGGCAAGAGAGCACATGGTTGTGAAAGATAAAACTGGTGCCACTTCACGTAAACAGTCACTTTAAATTGCCTCCAGCTGATATCAGACACACACTGAAAGAGACGAGATATGGATTGTGCTATCCCTGCACAATCACTCTGCCGAGCGTTTAAATCACTCCCACAATACGAAACGAGGCTCAATCTATAGTCCATCTTCCAATACATTTGTATGGACAGAGTCTTATCATCATGGACAGCAGATGGGCACAAATGGTCTTAAGTTCCCTTGATTCCAATGTGCCTTTCATTCAATAGGGTAAAAAAAATAATCACAAAAGTCTTTTTTTTTGTAGAACGCATCCCTACAGCATCAATCTCTTCCATTGTTTCTCCCTTCTCCTGCACTAATTGTTCATTTTCATTTTGTGAAGAGTGGTTGGTTGGTTGGTTGAATGGCCGAAAAATGCTTGCAGACTTGCAGCTTCTGATTAATAAAGCCAAGACATATGGAGTCAACAATCTTTTGTTCCTAGCATTGATTCAACAGCCAGAAACTGTGTGCACAATAGCAGAATTGGAAGGGGTCTTGGAGGTCTTCTAATCCAACCCACTTCTCAAGCAGGAGACCGTGTACCATTTCAGACAAGGTTGCTTCTCTCCTTGATTAGTTCCCATCCATTGTTTCTTATCGTCTAGTCAGCGTTTGTAGGAAGCCATGAAGATGACCTTGGGAAAGCTTGTACAGAGGTTCAAAATATGAGTTAGAATGAAAGAATAAACAGGTGGGAGGGACCTTGGAGGTCTTCTAATCCAATCCCTTGCTCAAGTAGTAAATCCTACACCATTCCAGACAAGTGGCTGTCCAGTCTTCTCTTAAAAGCCTCCAGTGATGGAGCAGCTACAACTTCTGAAGGCAAATCATTCCATTGGTTGGTTGTCCTCACTATTAGGAAATTTCTCCTTAGTTCTAGGTTGCTTCTCTCCTTGATTAATTTCCATCCGTTGCTTCTTGTCCTGCCTTCAGACACTTTGGAGAATAGGTTGACTCCCTCTTCTTTGTGGAAGCCCCTGAGATATTGGAAAACTGCTATCATGTCACCCTTGGTCCTTCTTTTCATCAGACTAGACCCGTGNACTGGATGTATTTGTGAGCTGCTTCTCAAGACTAATAGATTTCCCCAGGCATCTTACAATGTAAAATCGGTCCAATTCGAAATCATGTTGTATTTAAAAGACTGTTTTAAAACAAGTCCACAGCAATAAAATGTCATTTTAAGAATCTAATAGTAACAAAAAGACCAAACCTTTGGTGTTAAGGCATGGCTGACCTTCCTTTATTATTGTCTATAATAGTGACAATCAACAATCCAAGATGATTGTGGTTTGAAAGGACAGTTTAAGTGGGAACGTTACGAGCATTTTCCCCTGCTTGGTACAAGAATAGCAGACACTTAAAGTTTTTGTTATTTATTAGAATTCACATCGCAGCGCAGAATTCACCTGGATCCCAAGGCAGAAAGGAGAAGAAGAAGAAAAAAGGAAGAAAAAAAATATCTTTTGAAATCTCTCCACACTCCAGGAAGTGTTTTTAATGGCCCGTTGCACATTTCACATATGATCATGGCTTCGCTAACACATGCAGATTCCTGCATTCTCTATCATCAAATATTTAATGGGGGGGGGGGAACCATGTCGGCATCTTATGGCTTCCCAAATGAAGAGTCAAAAGTAGGCAGGAGATTAGGTGCAGACCCAACCAAGCAGAGCCAAGAATTCAGGGTTTTTCTACACCTTTCTAGGAAAAGGAACTTTTTCCCGTTCTTTCATCGCTGAGGCTCCTGGCCTCCGTGGAAAGACGTGGGTTTTTTAACATTCATGGCATGCCTTCTCCCCCAAAACACAAGTGGAAAACCAAGAACATGCCCAAAATGTAGGGTTTTTTGTTTCAAGGCAACTCCACTCGGATCTTGAAACTGATCTGCATTTACAAGCTTGGGCTCAGGTAGATAAATGGAAGAGAGAGTCCCATTCTGCGTCAAAAACAGAGGTGCGTTGCTCCTGATTCGGCCCACTTCGGCCAAACCGGTAGTGGAATTCAGGCTGAACCAGCAGCAACCCAGGCCTGCCATGCCCCCAAACCAGTTCCCTTGCCGCTTCTGGGCTGCCGCCATTTTGGTTTTTAGTGACTGCGCGTGCGCAGTTCATTGTAAATTGTTCTGCACATGCGCGAAGAACAATTTACATTGCATAGTGCATGCGTTGCATGTGGCTTCCACCCGGTAGTAAAACTGGCAGAAATCCACTCCTGGTCAAAAAGGTTTTTGTGACCTGGAGACCGGGGGGGGGGGGGGGGGGGGGAGGGAGCAAGTGCTTAAAGCTACACAATAACAGTAGGTGAGGCAAGAACTGTTAAAAATGTAGAAAGTGGGCTTGAACCTTTGATTTATCAATTTATTTTTCACAATTTTTAACTTTCCGCTTCTCTCACAATGGGACTGTGAGAGGTACACAATAAATAATACAATAAAAGGTCGGAAAGTCACAAATGGCAATCAC